GAGAAAATGGCCGCTTTGGAAGGTGGACTCTGTGTGGCATTGGACCCCCCACTGAAGTCTCTTCCTTGCTCCAGCCGTTTCCTTCTCAGGCTCCACCCCCCAAAAAATCTCCAGGTATTTCCCAACCCAGAGCTGCCGACCCTGTGAGCAATTCTGAGGTCGTTGTATTGAACCTGGTATGTTTTCGCACAAGATCTGTTGACTTTTAAATCTTTTTTTTTAAAGCACAATGAGGGTCTTCAGGGCATACAACCATACCAGCAAATGAAGCTGCTGTCTATGAAGTTAGAGTGTTGGTCCATAGAGGCCAATCCCGACTCTTCTGGATGGCATCACCTTCTCAAGGCTTCAGGCTTGGAGTCTTCCTAGCCTTCGCAGCGCGACTCCCCAACAAGGGAAGTTATGTAAAGTTTAGATACCTTCCCTTGGCCGGGGAGTCACTCTGCTGAGGCCGCATAAGCCCCAGAATTAAGGGAAAGTGTTTTAAGTTTAAATACTTTCCCTTCCTCACCCAGCAAAGGGATTCCCCGAATAGATGCCGAATATACGGTTCTCTTTCGGGAGGCTTGAATAATGCTGAATAGGCATTCAGGGGTTTTTTTCGGTTTGTCTGAACCGAATGCACATCCCTACTAGTGATCTGTAGCCCCTCCTTAATTTTTATGACTGTTTAAATGAGGGTGATCGGGGGGGGGGCCTGGAGACCAAGCCCTATGAGGAAAGGCTTGAGGGACTTGGGAATGTTCAGTCTGGAGAAGAGGTTGGCGGGGGGCACATGATGGCTCTCTTGAAGTATTTGAAGGGCTGTCACTTGGAGGAGGGCAGGGAGCTGTTCCTGTTGGCAGCAGAGGAGAGTATTCATAAGAATGGGTTTAAACTAAGGGTGGGAAGGTACCGACTGGATGTTGGGAAAAAGTTTTTTACAGGAAGAGTTATGCAACAGTGGAAATGGCTGCCTAGGGAGGTGGTGAGCTCCCCCTCATTGGCAGTCTTTAAGCAGCGGCTGGACAAACCCTTGTCAGGGATGCTTTAGGCTGATCCTGCATTGAGCGGGGGGGGGGGGTGGACTAGACAGCCTGTATGGCTCCTTCCAACTCCTTCCAACTCTGTCATCTTCATTAGGCACCTTAGGGGTTTGTATTAGCCAGTAGTCAGGCAGGTGTATTTGAAATGGCTCAAATAAGCAATCAGGACAATAAGGCTGTAGGGAATTGTATTGACAAATCGCATCTTAGGGCAATGATGTAAAACAGTGGGGGTTTTTTTCTGGGAGGGGGTATATCTTGCTTGGGCAAAACTAACAAGGACCTCAGTGTATTTGCATATTTAGGCTTGGATTTAATGGGGATCGCTGTGGATGTAAAAGAGGTCCATTGGTGGGTGGAGCACGACTCCCCCCCCACACACTGCAGTCCAAAGTACCCTTCTACATGCTGCTTGTGGGAGGAAGGGGACCCCCCCTAGCGTGGAGGGGGAGTCAGAGATCCCGAGCAGCAGGAGGGAGTAGAACTGGCTGCCAATATTCCATCTGCAGAAATCCTCGGTGGGATCCAATTCTTAATCCTCCAGAGTACAATTTTAATTTCCTATTTTTTCCTTTAGTTTACTTTTAGAAATATAAACATTATCTATATTTTAAAGCCCTCTGTAGTGCTAGAATAAACTAATACTAAGTCATGTTCTACTTTAATAAAGTTTGTGTTTATCTAATACTTTATCATACCAGAGATTATTAACAGTGCTCAGTTAAAAAGGTGGTGCAGAAATATGATCTTGAGCTTTTTTAAAAAAAAATGTAATAATTGAAGATCTGGGCCTAGTTAATGCCGAAGGCATGGATGCGATTATCCCCGAGGAATTTTGCGGATGGCAAGGCAGGGGGGAAAGAGGAGCAAGGATTAGGTTGGAGTTCTCTTTCAGTTGTAGTTGTTTGTTAATGTATCTATTTTCAAAACTAATTGCTTGACATTAAAACTTAAAAGAGAGAGAGAGTGCACTCAAATGTCAATAATTTCCATTGCCCTTCTTGAAAGGTCTGAAATATTTTTCATTAGCAGGCAGCGTCATGCATTTGTATTGGCTGCTCGTCTCCAAGGAACGCAAAAACTCCTTTGCTAACTTCTAATCGAAGTCATAATTTTGTGAAGGTCACGAGCTCGCTTAAAGTGCAGTGCCGTGTCTTTATTCATTGGGGGGGAAGAGCTTTCAATGCCTTCAGTGAAAATGTCAGTCTTAATTCTCTTCCTAATCTTCTCTTAAACCATAAAAGAACATGTTTCAATTCTGGGGGGGCGGGGATGGAGTAAAAACCCAATCAACCAGTTTCGAGCCTTTTCTCCTTTTGGCAGTGCAATTTGCTGATTGCCAGCACAATCAATTACGATTGACTGAAATAGAAGCTACTGTGAAATTTTCAATCTGTTTTTAGAGGTTTCAGATTTTTTAAAAATGAAGTTGTCTAGTAACATTTCTCACGTCATTGTTATTATTATTGTTCAGCATGCTTGCAGGATGAGGTCGTATTCATCAAATAATGTACGGCCCTCTCGATTCTTGAAGTATCCGTAGTTTCTTGAAGTATCCATAGGTTCTGGCTTCCAGCCATGTATATTTTCTAAGAAACCATCTCTCCCCATAGGAGCCCCATAGAACATTGAGGTCCACGAACCAACATCTCCTGGCAGTCCCCGGCCCCAGGGACGTCCATCTTGCCTCGGCCAGGGTCAGGGCTTTCTCGGCCCTGGCCCCTGCCTGGTGGAATGAACTCCCGTGTGAGATCAGGGCCCTGCAGGACTTATTGCAGTTCCGCAGGGCCTGAAAGACAGAGCTCTTCCGCCGGGCTTCCGGTTGAGGCGGCAGGCGGCCCTCCCTTTTTCCAGGCCTCCCCCCCACCACCACCAGTGGCCAGGTTCAAATTTGACATCAGGGCACCACTGTTAGACTCAGATATGACTGACACTTGAACAGGCTATTTTACATGGTAGTTGTGATTTTATGATCTGTGATTTTATGTGATTTGTTTAATCTGATGTAAACCGCCCTGAGCCTCCTCGCAGGGAGGATGGTAGATTAATTAATTAATTAATTAATTAAATATAAAGTCATCTTTGATTTCTCTCCATTTCAAAAATTAGTAGTAAATATTGTTTGAGGATTTTCATTTCTGTTAGGGAACATTGCAAATTTGAGCTATCGTGTCGTTGAGAGTACTTTCTTTCTACATGAGATAAATAACAATGTGCAATAATGATGATACTGCCCTGGCCTGGACGGCTACCCCAGTCTTGTGAGGTTTCGGAAGCTGAGCAGGGTTGGCCCGGGTTAGTACTCTGGTGGGAGACCACCCAAAAAGTCCGGGGTTGCTATGCAGAGGCAGGCGATGGGCAGACCACCTCTGAACGTCTCGTGGCTTGAAAACCCTCACCGTAAGTCAGCTGTGATTGGTGGCAAAAAAATTAAAAAACAAATAATGATACACTCCTTATGCTGAACAATTGATTAATAGATTGTGAGCTGATTAGTTTTAAGAGGGCTTGTGCCTCAGTGGTAGAGGGCTTGTGCCTCAGTGGTAGAGCTTCTGCCAGGCATGAAGAAAGTCCCAGGTTCAGTCCCCCAGATCTCCAGTAAGGATCAGTTCATATGTGGGATAGGAAAGTCTTTGGGCCTGAGACCCCGGAGAGCCACTGCCAACCTGAGTGGGCCGTGCTGGCCTTGACGGACCAAGGGGCTGACTCGGGATGAAGCAGCTGCCTTTTCGCTACAGGGACATGCGTGAAGCAAACCGGAATATAAAAGATGAACATATTTTGTTGCAGGGCAAAAACGACTCTTTCC